CAATTTCTTTCTTTCATATACTTGATAAAAAGCTAATAATTGCTTAAAAGTAGTTAGTTCTTTTTGACATTCTGAGAACACTCAAAATGACATTAATAGAAAATTTGACAATAAAATGTACAATGTTTGCTTTTCAGTGTAGTCATCCTAATGTTTTCCTTTATATAATTCTTTATGAAAATATAAGTTTCATGAGGGCAAGTAATTTTGTCTTTCCCCCATTCCCACTGCTAAATCCCTTGCAACTAGAGTTATGTGTAGTATATATTAGGTGCTCAAGAAATATCTGGTGAATGAATTAAGAGAATAAGTAATTCTGATAATATTTCCAATGATATTCTTTCTGCTATTCTCATATTCATTTTTAAAATGCCCTGGCAAGCAATGTGACATAAAATATCCTTAGTAATACACTTCTAGTTTGCAGGTTTTTGTGTGTGTGATTTGAAAAAAGACCAACACATTTTTAGAATAATCTTTTAGACAAAAGTTGCTCAACTGAATTAAAAAGGAAGTCTCACTTTTGTGTGAGAGCACATTCAAGTTTCATCTTATTTCTAATAATTTTTTATCAGTCATTTTCAAAAAGAGAGAACTTTGAAAGTCTTTGAAGTCATTTCCAGAAGGTATCTTAGGCAGTTATAGTTTTAGTAATATTTATCAACAAAAATACTTATAAATTTTTTTGCGTTTAAGGAAATTCTTAATTTTTTTTTTTTTTTTATTTTTATTTTTTTTTTTTTTTTTTTTTTTTTTAATATTAGCCATTAATTAGGAAACAGGTGTTCTGAGGAATATTTATAAATAATATGTCCTGTACCATAATCTACACCTAACTTGAAGACCCAGAGTCAGCCTTAGGGATCAGTTAGTAAGCAAAACACTAAAACTAGGAAACTTCTAGGTCAGCTTCCTAATATTAATATTTAATTTAATATTAATAGCTTGGAATTTAGACATCTCCGATTATTTAGTTCAGAATTTTCCTGACTATCTCAGCACTTGAATTGATTCATACGTATAACAGAAACAAGTCTAAAAATTTCATTGATCTGCTGAACAACATTGCTGTGAATTAGAAAAACAAAAACAGAAACAAAAAAGAAACAAAACAAAAAAGCTGCAAGTCCCACAAATGCCAGCAGACCCAGTACAAGCAAGAGAGATTCAGGTGTGTGTTAAGGTGAAATATCTATGATAAACTGGTTCAGGAATCTCCTCTTTAACTTCGAGCAATTCCTGTTATTGTTTCTGTGTGAACAAACATTTATTTTTTATTAATGTTGGCTTAGAAAAAAATGATATAGTAAATATGTAATTATATTGTATATAGAGAATTATTCTCAATTTGGAAAGTAGGCATTATATGAGTTTCCAAAATATCTGGAATCAATGGATTAATCTATGAACATCCAAGGAAATACTTCACAAGTATGCAAACATTTTTTTAAAAAAGTATATCAAAATTAAGTATCTCACCAGCAAATTGGTATTAACTGATCAACATCGAAGTGGACATATAGGAATAACATTTATCGGGGGTTGGGCAGGTGGGACGGAGGAGGATAGGATGGGTATATACATATATAATGAGTGAGATGTGCACCGTCTGGGGGATGGTCTCGCTTGAAACTCTGACTTGAGGGGGGCCCAAGGGCAATATATATAACCTTAACATTTGTACCTCTATAATACGCTGAAATTAAAAAAAAAAAAGAAAAAAATTAGGTATGTTTTCATAGTGCTTTTAGATTTCAGTTTTACTTATTACTTCATGCCAAAGTGGTTTCACTCTTTGAGAAAAAGTTACATTGTTATTATTTTTATTATTGTTGCTATTGTATTCACACTCTAGTATTATTTGGTGCTAACAAACATCAGATTTTTTAAGAAGTAAAATAATAATAGGGGTATATCAACTATGTGTGAAATGCCTTCAATTTTATTTTTTCCAATCTCAATTTTTTGTGGAAAATTGAGTTCAACATTTATTTTCTTAATCCATCTAGATTAGAGAGGAAGAAAAACATTATTCCAATCAAAATAACCACAATGGAATGAAGTTAAACTTAGTATACCTTTGATTTTTGTCCACAGTTTGCCTACTTATTTTTCGGGAGATATGAAAATAAAAAAATTTTAAACAGTGGATGTTTTCCTCTCCTAAGCCTCTTCTTTTTGTTTCATAACCATCCTCAATTTGATTGTGAGCTGCTTGAGGGAAGGGACCATGCATCATTCCTTTCAGCACTCTACCTGTAGTATTTATTGGCTTTGACATAGCCATACTCCAGGTTTTAAGTGAATACTGAAGAAACAGAGAATGAGCCTGTCTGGGAAGTGTAGGTCCTTCTTAAAGGAACTAAAGTGAAGATATAGGTAGTCCCTAGAGCACTTGAGACCATAAAGAAAGTCTGAAGTCAGTAAACTTCAGAAACTTCTCTATGACAGCATAAGAAAGGTCTGAAGTCAGTAAACAGTATGCACAGAAGAGCAGTGGTAGGAAGAATAGAAATACAGAATATTTACTCCTAAAGGTAAGTGATATGTGAGTGAATGGCTAAGGGTATGACTGTGTGTGTGTGTGTGTGTGTGTGTATGTGTGTGTGTGTGTGTGGTGTGTGTGGTGTGTGTGACTGAAGCAAATTTTGGATAAATGGTATATTATCATAACTACATGGCTTATGATCTAGGATCAAAATGAAAATTCCTCTGAATTTGCTACTACATCTTCAGTAAAAGAGTTCTAAAATGATCTTAAGTTCCAAATTAGGGCCTTAATACAGAAATTAGAATGTGTCCAGTTCAATGTTTTAATAAATGTTTTATTGTTGGTCAAACATAAAGCTTCTTCTCCCTTCTAAGCCGTGATAAGCCCTCTAGATGGAAGTGTCTTCCCAGAAGAAGGCATAGTGTTAATGTCCACTCTTGCATTCACTTCCTCTGTTCCTGGTTGCAGGGTGAAGTGTGGGGAGGAGGCAGAGGTTGGAGGATAGAATGGACGGCTTCATTTTCTGCGTGGCTACATATTCCCTGAGACTGAGAGTTGGTTAGGGAGAGCTTTTCCCTTAAAACAACATTTGTGAGAAATTCAGAGTCCATCACTAAGGAACACACGCTGAAATACTCTTACCTCTAACCCGTTATCACTCCAGGCTTACTTCGTAGCTTCCTTTATAGCCCAGCCTCTCTTCCAGGGTAAAACAAAAAATGTGGGTTACAGGTCATTAACGTCACCAACTGTACCCTACTTCTCTCTCAGGGGTAAGTCAGGCACTAGTCCACTCTCCCTGGCCCCACTTACTTTTAGAAACCACATACCAGGCACTTTCCACAGGCCTGAAAAAGCCCCCTCACAAGGAGCGATGGTTAACTTTATGTGTCGGCTTGACTGGGTTAAAAGATACCCTGATAGTTGGTAAAACATTATTTCTAGGTGTGTCTGTGAGGGCATTTCCAAAAGATAAATAGATTACTATTTGAATATTTCAGTAACAAATTCAAATAGATTTCTGTTTGAATCAGTTACTGAGTAAAGAAGACCCTCTGTTGTCATTGTGGGTGGCATTATCCAATCCATTGAGGGCCTGAATAGAAAAAAGGTGGAGGAAAGGTGAATTTGCTTTTTCTCTTCTTTAGCTGTAACATCCATTGTCTCTTGCCCTTAGTTACAGGAGCTCTTGGTTCTTGGGCCACTGGACTCACATTGATTTACAATACAGCTTTCCTGATTTTTCAGCTTGAGGGTGGCATATCGTAGGACTTCTCAGCCTCCAATTGCCACAATAAATCTCCTCTTATCCATCTATATATTTCCTATCGGTTCAGTTTATCTGGAGAACCCTAATACCCATGGCATAAAGGTAAAGGATATAGTATCCCTGAGTGCTTCCAACTTTGGACAGAAGAACCGCAGCATTATTCATTTCCCTCCAAAAAAATAATATGTCTTTACAATTCTCTCTCTCAACTATAAACATTTCTTATTTCCCTAATCTGGCCAATAGTTCAAAAGCTGCAAAACTCATAATTATGCCTTTAGTAAATTCTGCATTTCAAATCTACCATATTTTTGTTTTCTCCACAGAATCTTCTATTTTACCATCTGTTGCAACTGCACTGTAGGAGGTGTGAAAGAGGAGGAAAATTGAGTGGGTAAGTATTTTGAAGACAGACTGAAATATTTGGCCAAGTTTCTTAGGAGTGAAAAATATTTCATCAAAGGAAATCTTTCTTACATGTCCCCAAAAAAGAAAATAAGCAGAATTTCACTCATTGAAGTAGGGTCAGTAAGCTCGGAAGCTAGATCTCTTCCCCTCTCTCTCCAATTCCCTGCCTTTGCCCTTCACAGAAACCACTGGATATGAAGAGCACATTTGGAAAATCCTCCCCTGAAGACGACATGAGGAACAACCAGAAGATTTAAATTAAAGAAGACCAAAAAATCAGATGTGTGTTGTGGAGACAATGAAAGCTGTGAGACCAGCTAAGGAATAAGAAAGTGGTTGCAGAAAAGGTGAGGAAGGGAAGGATTTAAGCACTACTTAAGAGGATAATATATGTAGATAATGGGAAAGCAAAAAAGGGGAAAAAGACAAGTGAATCTAATTTTGATAAAATACGTAACCCAAGGTGTTAAAAGATTATTTATTTCAAAATATAATCCATATATAATTATAACTGAGACATTTAATTTTTTATATTAAGTCTTTAATCTGCTGTATATTTGATACGTAGAACACATCTCAATTCGGACTAGCTAAATTTAAGAGCTCAACAGCCACATGTGGCTAGTGGCTTCCATACCTACCGAGCAGCTCTGCGGCATGAGTTGCCTGACCTTGGTTCACAAGTTCACTGACCAAATCCAGCCCAATTCTTGTTTTGGTATGGCTTGGGAGCTAAGAAGGATTTTTTACATTTTTAAGTGGTTGGAAAAAAAATCAGAAAAGGAATAGTATTTATTGGCACCTGAAAATGATATGAAATCCACAAATAAAGATTTATTGAAATACAGTCATGCTTATTTATTTATTTTTATTTTTTGGTAAAAGCAGGATAGCCAATTCGTTTTAAAAGATTCTATGGCTCAAAAAGCTTAAAGTACTTACCCCATGGCCCTTGATGGAAATAGTTTGCCTATCTCTGCTTTGAATGGTTAGCTCTCCAACGACTGTGAGCATTTCTTAGGTATCTTTATTAGCATTCAGCACACGAATGACATGCAAAAGAGACTCAATAGTTTCAGAATAGGATATATTTTATAAATTCAATTAAACAGCATTTATTGAACAACTACAATTCTAAAATACACACTGTTTACCTAGAAATCGTTTCTTACAATTTTCATAGTCAGGTTCACTGTGTCACCAGAAGAGAAAAGTAATAAAACATACTCAAGAACATGGAATTCTTAATATAGATAGATCTGGGTCCAAGTTCCGGTTTTGCCTCATTCATAACCTTGGGTAATATACTAACCCCTCTAACCTCTGTTTGAATATCTGTAAAATAGGGCAAAATAGTGTTAATAGCAGTTAAATGAAATGATATAATAATTTAGTATAGTGACTGAAGTATGGTTAAGTTTTTAATAAACGTTAGCTATTTTTATTACATATATACAAAGTTTCCCAACTTAATTTATTCCTTTCAGTAGTTTTTAGTCATCACTTTTGAAAGAAGTTATAATTTAATTCATATGGTTTATAAAACCATAATCTAAGTATTTGTTCTTTTTGACAAATCTTAGCACAGCTATAAAGGTTAGTTAAAAATATTTTGGACACCAAATCACATTACTAGAATATTATAATTGCATGAGGCTCATAAGTAAATATAAATACATACTCTATATGCATATGAAGAATATTTTCAATGTAAAGAGAGATATTTATGTATAAGGAATATATTTATGTAGAAGATACATTATTTAGAAAGCATTAACAGTTTTGAGACTCAGAAGCACACGTGTTTAAGTAATATACTGTATAGATTTACCGTAGACCTATAAAACATTTTTTTACAACTACAACTTTAAAATTAATAATTTAAACATTTAAAATTAATAATTTAAATAACTAGATAAGTTTAAATTAATACTTTTAATTTAATGATGTTTAAACGTTATAAAATGTTATTACATTTAATACTATAATAGTATTCAAATCACATTGTTCCATTTATTTCCCTTGATGAAATGTTAACATTGCTGAAAATAATTCTTTGGACCGTTATGTTTAATTTAGGTTTTATGACTCCTCTGAGTGAAGAGAGGAAGAGTGTTGTAATTTTCTGGACATGGAGAATCATTTGCTATGGTAAACTGGATAAATGCCTGTGCTACCTCATGGGAGTAGGATAGAAAAAGAGTAGCTGGATCTATTCTACTGAGATGCCAAGGCCTCCATCTTCTTTCAAAATCAATGGCCTTAGAGGGATCATGAATTGTTGAGGGAGAACAATCCTTACTCCTCTTTATCTCTCATCTACTGCCTTTGAAATCAACTGGAGCTGCGTACTTGGAAGTAGCACAAAGGGCAAGGATGGAAATAAAAATATAGCTTAGGATTTGTGATGCTCAAGTGATTCAGACTCATTTCTCCAATAGCTGCGGTTCTGAAATATGCTAGACTTATCACTGATATATTGCAGTTCATAGTGTTCTAATTCATTTTACAGAAGTAATCCTGCCCAGCTCTACCATTAGTCTTTTAAGTAGAGCTTACGTTTTGGTTCCATTTGATATAATTCATCCTTAAGTTCATAATACCTGATTTTATCAAATTATGCAGATATAAAAAGTGTCCAGGCCTCTTTTGTGGACAAAACAAAGTGATTAAAAACTCCCATGATACTTAATATTCACGTGTGATATAAAATGCACCTCAACCTGCCAAACCTTTCTCTTCTTTCATTTAAGCAGTTTCTGTAATTCCACATATTTCTTTCCTAATTAAAAATGGGGATAATAAAGTACCTTAGCTTCTTTATGCAACATATAATAAAAGACACTTATTCTTTCTTATGTGTAAAACTGATATTTTAAAAAATGATGTTCATAGTGTCTATTCAATTTTGTGAATGCACTGCACATGTTAGTCTCATGTCCCTTAGAGGGAGTATGGTCTGTGTTTACTTAATTTGTTTTATATTACTATATATTAATTTCATCTTGTATTCATAGACTATTCATCATCAATTATGAGAATTTTGTTTTTATCACTTCAAAAATAATCCCTAAAATGTAAGTGTTATATGTAGTGGGAAAATATATAAGGAGTCTGGAAAATAATTACCATTTTGTAGTATTTCACAATGAAATATTATTAATCATTACTGAAAGTAATGTGTTGATATTGATTTTTTCCTCATTTGTAACACTGTTTCCACCTTTGTTAGCTTCATTTTATGCTACATAACTAAGTCTAAATTTCTGAAACATTTATTATGATTAAATGGTCACTAACAACAATAATAAAATAATTATATTGCCCTCAGATTCCTTGGATTTAATGCTTTTCTTCTGGAAATATAATATTCAGATAAATTTAAATGATGGAAGCCAACCATTTAATGAGAAGGGAAAGATGACAAAAGGGTCCAAATTTAACTTTAATCTAATGTTGCTCATAAACACAAAAAGAGCATTATATTTTTGTAAATATTTTCAGATTTTAAAAAGTAACCAGTAATTCATTCTAAAACTATCATCGTGCAAGCTGTTATTTTATTTAAGTTTATAATTATTAATCAGTTTCAATTGCAAAGAACACAATCATTTGGTTTCTTCAGACTCTAGTCATGCATTGAGTAGTTTCTTATTTTAAGTTACTATCACTAATCACAAACAAAGATGTGTCCAAATTTTGAAGGAACATGGGTGTCCCAAACCTCAGATAATGAATTTTAGCTCTCTCTGGAGAAAAGCTTTTCCTGTATGTAGTCTGGCAATATTCCAAGATTTCTTTTTAAAAGTAACTCCATATGTGTACCGAAAATAAGCTAGTGATGTTTTAAATCAACTGAAAAGAGAGGCTGTTCTTTTCAATATTTTTTTCCTGGGCATAACTTTGAAGTGCAGCATTTGGGGATTATGAAGGTTTGGGTTACCTGCTGAATGAAGGCATGGAAAATTATTTGAAAGTACTCTTTTAAAAAATGTACTTTAAACTTATGAAATATCACCTGTGGTTATGAGGAGGTATGCAATTCAAAGCATTTTTTTCAACTTAAAGAGAAAGAGTTAATTTTAAATTGAGATTATATTTTCCAAGTTTTCTATGGCTACAAGATCATAATCAAAAGTTTGTGGTTCACTCTTTTTAAGGGCAGGAGATGATGGGGATGAGTAAATGCAATTAAATTAAAGAAAATGTGGGCAAATTTATGAGTTGGGTACTATAAGTAAAACTGAAGCAAAGACTATAGCTTACTATAATGACTGTTTCACAGCAGGCATTTTAAGTGATTTTATTTTCAAATAAATTCAACTTGCATGTATTTTCCTGTAATCTGTTTTGAATTTACTTGATGCATTCAAAGGCTTGAGATTAATATATATATATATATTATATATATATATATATATATATATATATATATTTGTGTGTGCATTCCATTGGCAATATTTTATATAGAAAAAAGTTGCTGGTATTGCTAAATTTGTATCATGTAATTCTAAAGTAAAATGTATTTGAATAAGCATTCTTTTTCAGAAAGCAAAAGAACTGTAATAATATATGTTTGTCTTACATCATGAGAAATAGTCTTTGTCTAAGATATCACAGACACACCTGCTACAATTGGATATTGTCAAATAGCATTTTGAAAAGGCTTGGATGTTTATATAGTTAAATATTTACATTAGCATGCGATGCATTTGATTATAACCAAACAGGAGGATGGCTGCATCTTCTGTTTGGTAGCAATATGTCAATGATTTAAGAATATCAAATCTTCTGATACTTATTGAAATAAATGCTATTTGTATTAAAAGTCATATACTTCATTGAAAATGTAAAGAAATGACTTCAGAACCTCAACTTTCAAATTAAGTTGACATTTATAAATAAGTAAAATATTTTTAATTTGTACATTTTAAATGTATATGTGGTATGGTTTATAACTTATGGTAAAACTATAACTTTCACTAGAATATGTGTTTCATTAAATTGAGAAATATTCACTACCCATGCCTTCAATATGGCAGGCACTGGGCTGAGGAGCCAGTGAAATATGTTGCATATTCATATTTATAAGTACTAAGGACAAAAATTGCGGAGAAGAAGAATATAATACTTTGAGTGTGTTTTATGTGTCAGGTTGTTGAAATTTTTTGTATAGAGGGTAGAAAGCATCACCAAAGTGTCTTTTGAATAAAGAGCTAAGGGTTCCTGAAAGTGGACATTGTAGATATTGGAAGGTAGAGTGTCTCCATCCAAGGTAGGCACAAGGAAATGTCTCTGTTGTGTTCTGTGGACAGTGAGAAGGGCAATGTGGCTCTAGCTTTATGAAAATGGTGGGGAAGTTATAGGAGAAGATATCTGAAAGGCATAGGTAGGACCCCGAAGGTCATGGAAGGACTTTGGATTTCAATTAGATTAAGTTGGAGAGTTTTGAGCACAGAAGTGACAAAGCGTGTATCAGGTTTCAGCAGATGACTGCTACTTTTAGAACACTGTAAGTGGGCCAGGGTGGTGACAGCAAGACCATTAGAGAGCCCATTGCTGCAACCAAGGGAGAAGTGATTGTTTCTGGAATGATGGGCTGTGGCAATGGTGGTGGAAGAAATGGCTACATGCCATGTCTACAGTGTTTTAAAAGCAGAGCCAACAAGGCTTGATTTTCAATGTGATGTGGAATATAAGAGAAAAAGAAGAGTCAAGGCTGGCAGGAGTTGAGACTTGAAATATGAGAGGTTATTGACTGTGATGGAGAAGACTGTGAGAGGGCAGTTTTGGGGAAAAGAAATGTGGAACTCCTATTTGGACACTCCAATAGGCAATTGTTTACACATACTGAATTAACGTGGAGGTCCAGAGTTGGGATATAAATTTCAAAGTCATTAGAATATAGATTGTATTTAAAACTATTAAATGAGATCACCTCATGAATGAATGTAGACAGAGATGAATAAATATTGAATTACCTATTAAAAAGTTAAACATAGGCTTTATTGCATTCTTTTTGTATATTTTGCAGACTTATATACATAGATATAAATAGATACATATAAAGAAAACTTAATAGCTAAAAAGTAGACAATGCAATCTCAAGAAAAAATAGCAAGACGTTGACAAGCAAAGAAAAGGAGAACTGGTAGAATTGCTACAAATACATCGGAGAGCAATTTTTATTGTGCATATAGTTGAAACTGTGTATGCCCTATGACTTAAAATGTCTACTTATGGGCATACCATAAGGAAATGTTATAAAGAACTTTTATCATATATCTTCAAAAGACCTATACTAGGATTTTTATTAGAACATTGCAACTCAATATTTTTCAGAAAAGAAATAGAGAAATACATGTTAGTACAGCAATGAGATATCACTTATCCCCAGTAAGAATGGCCCTTATCAAAAAGTCCCAAAACAATAAATGTTGGCATGGATGCAGAGAGATAGGAGCACTCCTATACTGCTGGTGGGACTGCAAACTAGTTCAACCTCTGTGGAAAGCAATATGGAGATACCTTAAAGCAATACAAGTACATCTACTATTTGATCCAGCAATTTCACTACTGGACATCTACCCAAAAGAACAAATGACACTCTACAAAAAAGACACCTGCACTCGAATGTTTATAGCAGCACAATTCACAATTGCAGTTCCGGAAACAACCCAGGTGCCCATCAATACATGAGTGGATTAATAAATGTGGTATTATATATATATAATATATATATATATATATATATATATACCATGGAGTACTATTCTGCTCTAAGAAACAATGTATTTTCCTGGATAGAGCTGGAACCCATTCTACTAAGTGAAGTATCCCAAGAATGGAAAAACAAGCACCACATGTACTCACCAGCAAATTGGTATTAACTGATCAGCACCTCAGTGGACATATAGGAATAACATTTATTGGATGTTGGGCAGGTGGGGGGAAGGGGACTGGTATATACATACATTATGAGTGAGATGTGCACCATCTGGGGGATGGTCACACTTGAAGCTCTGACTAGAGGGAGGAGGGGGGCAAGAGCAATATATGGAACCTTATCATTTGTACCCCCATGATATGCTGAAATAAAAAAAATACAATGAAATATTATATAGCTGTCAACTATGTATATCAACATAGATTGGTCTCATAGATAAAATATTGGGTCAACAAGCAAAATGCAAGATGTTTTATTCAGTTTTGAAATTATTTTGTTAATTAAAAAGAAAAATATGTGTCACAATATATATATACTGTACTAA